CTGCAAGTATTTCCCATATTTTTTCAATTAAATTTAAGTCTGGACTTCTTGCAGGCCATTCCAGTGTAGTTATATTTGCTTCACACATCCAATTTTTAACTTTTTTTGGCCACATGTATGCTGCAGTTATCTTGCTGCGAAATAAAATTACTTCCTATTTCTTTTTCTATGAGTGGTAGGGCTCTCTTTTCCAAAAGTTCTCTGTAGCTATTTTGACATCCTTTTAACCACTCGAGCCACAAGTTTCAATTCGGAAATACCATACCCCAAACCATGACTCCTCCTCCCATCTGTCTCTTGTTGAGAATAACAGGTTCACCTTTTCTTGACCATGTACACCACCCATCAGGTCCATCGGACTTAAAACGTTTTTCATCAGTAAATATCACTTTCTTGAAGTCGACATGGTTTGTTATCCATCTTTTGGCGCTTCCCAGCCTTGCCTCCTTGTGTTTTCTCGTTAGTGTAATTCTTTTCTTGATTTTAGCATACTTAAGTCCAATTTCGTGTAGCTTTCTTTGTACAGTTCGAACACTGATGTCAAGTTCACACTTCTCCTTTACTTTCTTCGCTGTCACCTTTTCTCCAGATGATAACAACCTCGTAACACTGCTCTTCATTCTTCTTTCTGTTCTGTTGGAAATTGTTTGTTTTTTTCCGTCCTCTCTTCTTATTCCGCTCATACTCTGTACTTAGCATGTATTCAACTGTTGACTTCGGTAGCTTCATCTCAGCGGCGATCTTTCGGATGCTGAGCCCGTCTTCTCTCTTCTTTTGGACCAAAATGATGACTTCTTTTGAATGCATTCTTCTTCAGGATGTTAATACGTTTTCGCAGTGGATGGTAAAGATACTCAAATGTAATGGTCAGGGTACAATTTACTTGCAGAAAATTTGCATGTTGTAGACGTTCGACGACTAAATCATTAAAATCAATGTTCATACCATTAATGGGCAGTTATTGATGAACTACCTACTCATCAACACAAAAGCTCTCGGCAGCAAAAAACACCTTTAAGCACACTTTTCAAAGTGTCCCAAAAATAGTGTCGGCTCCCTCTAGTTAATATTATTAAGTGTTGTTTTTTTTCTCTTATTAATAAGGCTTCCATTATTTTTAGCCTTTTTTTGCATGTAGATGATGCTTTTATATTTGTGTTATCAAAAAGTATGTTACGAATACTGTCCGGTAGGGTCTCCATGAGTATTTAAATGAGATCTAATGAAGCTACTGACAGAAAGGGATAGAGTGTGCCTTCGTGTCAAACATGTAGTATGGCCTATATAATTATTTACGAATTTTGATTGATCAGGAATGCAATTCCATAATATATATAGAGAGATTATTTCAAATCCTCCTAATTATTTCTCTCTCTCTCTCTCTCTCTCTCTATATATATATATATATATATATATATATATATATATATATATATATTCAATAGGAATAGCAAAAGAAGTTCAATAGACTTATATCAATTGACCGATTCCAGATTTTCGCACAAAATGTTCTTCGATGTTCAATACCAAATTTCCGGATCAGATTTCTCTTGAAATTATTACCGGATATCATATTTTTTACCAGAATTATTACCTCAAATCTCATATTTATTCTCCTCGAAACCCTAATTCCAAATTTAAAATTCTTAGCACATTAGCGTTTCGTTAAATATATATTATTATTATATCATATTATTATTATATTATTATTAATTGTTAATATTTATGTCTCTTCTTTCTTTCTTTCTTTCTTTCTTTCTTTCTTTCTTTCTTTCTTTTTTTCTTTCTTTCTTTCTACCTTAACCCCCTCTTGTACTCTATGTGTCTCTCGCTGTTTCTGAAAATTTTGTTTTCAAATTGATTCTTTCTTTCTCAGATTCCGTCACTCTACAAAATAGAAACCTAAACTGATCAAGACACAAAAAAAAAGAAAAGAAAAATTAACAAAAAATCATGAGCACCCCTGACCTTAAGCAAGAAAACAAACTAAGTTTTTTATCTCCTTGTTTCAGGAGAGTGATTTGTTTATTTTCATAGGAGAGACAGTCAGAGAATTGTTTGTAAGTTGACCCTGGGACATGCTACGGAGTATTAAAAAATGAGCCCAAAGCGAATCTTGCGTCTGGGGCGGGTGAATTCCCGCCCACCTTGATATGTAGCTGCCTTATTCCTGTCGAGCCACATCGCTTGTGGTCTTTTTCTTCAGGACATCTCTATCGGACATTAAAAATCTGGTGTCCCGCATCCTTTATTTACCTTATTCCTGAAGTTAGAAAATCACTCAAAGTTGTAGTTGTTCTCTACTTGTGGTTATTATTTTTTGAGTTCTTTTTCTAATTGACTGTTGATGGCCGTGGTGTGATAATCTGTAGTTGTTTTGTTTATGAGCATTTTAATGTATCCGGAAGAAGGAAGAGAGTCGGTCAATAATAAAATGAAATAAAATAAAAACGTGTATAAAAAAAAGGAGTTAAAATGAAGAGGTTAAGAGTAATGAAAA